AACTCCCTGAAGGGATGAGAGGCCAAAGAAAGCTGGTTGGCATTCGAGGATCACCTTCTCCAAGCTCAGGACTGATGCATCCCAGTAAGGAGGAAGTCAGGCAGATACAGCAGGAGACCTTTGCAGATGAATGAAGAGGTCCTGGACCAATTCAAACACAAAAAAGAAAGCACAGAGGGTGGAAGCAAGAAGAGTAGCTTGGGAGGAGTGCAGAGATACTGTCTGAGTAGCCAGGGATCAGGTTAGGAAAGCTGAAGACCTGATTAAATTAAAGCTGGTGAAGGATGTCAAGGGAAACAAGAAAAGCTCTCATATGTACATCAGTGATTAAAGGAAGACAAGGAAAAAACATTACTTCTGGGCCTCTTCAGAAGTAATGAAAAGACCTGGTTAACTGGATCATGGAAAAGGGTGAGATGTTCACAACCTAAAGGTGCATAATTCTATTGGTTCTAATGAGATGCATCCATGCATCCAAAGGGAATGTGGAAGACAGTTGCTAAGCCACTATCATATTTGAGAAATTGTAGCAATTGGGTGCAGTTCCCATTGACTGGAAAAGGGGAAATATAATGCCCGTCTTTAAAAAGAGAAAAAAGGAAGGGAAGGCGTGTGGAACTACAGGCTGATCATTCTTGGCTTTGTGTCTTGCAAGATCATGGAACAGATCCTCCTAGAAACTATGGAAAAACATATGGAAAGTAAGAATGTGATGGCAGAAAAAGTGTCTTCACTAAAGACAAATGATGCCTGAGAAATTTGGTGGCCTTCTATGATGGGGTTACAGAAGCAGGGAATCAGAAGGGTGACTCATGACATCTACCTTGGTCTATTGAAAGCATTTGGCACTGTCCCACAAAGTATCCTTGTCTCTACACTGAAGAGACATGGATGTAATGGATGGGCCACTCGGTGGATAAGGAATTTGTAAGAAGAAATCAGATTATGGTATTTGTTTCTGTTCTGGAGGGAACTCCTTGCTGCCTGTATTGCCCTGGCTGCTCTCTCGGCCATGGTGCAAATCTGGGAGGCTGAAGGTGAAATGCTGAATTCTGGCTTATTGTTAAAGAGGGCTGAGGAAGATTGGTTCTGCTGGATGTACATTTCCAGGACGCCCAGTAACCTGTTAATTTTCCAGAGCCAGATTTACACTCACCTAGCACTGTGTAAACTACACTTCTATCTTTTAAAAATTGAGGTAGGTAACTCCTGTGTCATTTCTGGAGCAGAAGGCCATTCACTGAAAGAGATTTTAGGGACTGCAATTTCTCCATATATCCTTTATCTTGACTTTTATATCTGCACCACCACAGCATCTTTTTTGCTATTTTGATTCCCCTGGGATTCTATCTTGCATTTTGCACTGTTCACTCCAGCTATCTCTGGTTGAATTATACAGAGCACTTCATGTGAAACCAGGCAGAAAATGTGATAGATAACCAAATTTGCTTCTTTTTAGCTGGTGGAAAATATTTCTCTTGAAGGCACCATACCACCTGTCAGTGGTTATTCTCTCAAATGTGTGGCAGGTAAATACTGACATTTAGTGTTGCTAAATACCTCTGTCACAACTCGTAAAACTATGCCAGTTGGAAAGACCTGTGGAGGTTGAATCTGCCTCCCCATCCTCAATTCTAGTCCAGCCAGTGCTCTACACAGTGACCAGCTGTTTTTTTAAATAGTTCCAAGAATGGAGCTTGCATGACATCTCTAAGACTTTGTTACAGTGGCAGTCGTCTTCTTTGGGGAAAAATTTTTTCTAAGTTCTCACATTAGTGTCCTGTGTTTGCATCTTGTACCTGATGGCTCTCACCCTTTCTCTCTGCATCTCTGAAAAGAGTTTCTCTCCATCTTTTATTCTCCCTCCCATCTGCTTAATGAAGAGAGCAGTAGGTCACTGTTAACCTTTTCCTCTTTACCCTGCCTTAAAAATCATTATCTGGCATAAAGAGCTATAAGTTTGATTGCTTTAATAGTTTGGATTCTGAGCAGGAAGGGATCAATTTTCTGCACAATTACAAAAGCTGTTGCTCTTTTTGTCTGAACAAAAATACTGTGTCTATAGATCATTGATTCTCTACTTTTCATGTATATAAAGAAGCTACACTGTAAATAAGTGAACTAAGAAAAGGAAAGAAAATCATAACAATTGCTGAAATTATAAATACAGTTTTAATTGAAAGTGGTTTTGTAGGCATACAAACATATTTCAGAATGTCAATACTTTGCTTCAGGACTTCTGAAATAGTTCCATTTCCCTAAAGAAAGGAAAAAGCAAAGTTAAAAGACAAATTTTGACAAATGACTATTAATAAGCATTTTTCAGCAGCATTGCAAAGATAGAATATGTGGTTTTTTCCTTAAAAAAGAAAAGAAAACAGTTTTAGTTTCTTATTTCTTGCTTTGGAGATGCAAACCTTAAAAACACTCACAGAAAGATAAGATATGGTGGCAAAATGTATTAACCCAATATTTGGACAGAGAGACATCTACAAGCCTTGTATTTGAGACATTTCAGTTTTACCATGTAATTTTTTTTTTTTTCAAAAAATAAAAACTTAGAGTGGTAGTGAGTTATTGAACAATGTTGAACAGTTAAAATGCCTTTGTAAGGAAGCAAAGGCAAGAAAAGGAGAGAATACACAATCTGTGAAGGATGAGCGTTAAGTAGTATGCAATTAGAGAAATCAAAGCTATTGTGGTAAGAGAAGTTATGAACAGCCCACATAGAGACTGGAGATCAAAAGGTCTTGGAATAGAGGTGGGCAAGCTCTGGGAAAAACTTTATAAGTAATAAGGACTCCTTAGAAGTGGTTTCTCAGAAAAACGTGGAATAAATGAAGCCTAGGTAGGTAGCATGAAGTTTTTTAATTCATTTGAGAAGGCTGTTTTGGAAAACCAAGGAAAATAGCACTGAGTAAAGAGTACTTCTGAATAAAATCTGATCTTTGAAAAAATAATAGGTCAGTGTTTCATCCCCTCACTTCCCTCTCATTGAGAATGTGGGCTCTTGCCACACATAAAACAGCAAATGGACAAGAGCTCATGACCAAATTCCTGGTTTTTTTTGGTTTTTCTTTTAGCAATCCTGAAGAGTCTGGATGCATTTGTAATGTTGGTGATTTTTAGTTAATTTTTTTTGCAGACAGACATATAAATAAACAGCAGCATACTAATTAGTAAGTGTACAAAAGCTCCAAAGCAACTGAAATCTTCAGTCAAACTCCAGAATAGTAAATTAAAACTTCATAACACACCAGAATTTGGTGTAGTTGCCCTATAGCTTGCTTAAGGTGATTCTGCTGCAAGGTAGAGATTATAAAAGTGAAAATCTTCCTCAGTCTTTTGACTTCTAAAACACAAATTACTTCAATAGTATTCCTCTGCATTTGTATAAATGGGTGAAAGTCTGTCAGCAACAATTTAGAGTTAATTGCACTTCAGTTAGTATAATGAGTGTTTGTAATGCTTATGTGTACATTCTAAAGCTTTTTCAAATTAGGCTTAATGTCACATGTCCTTTCTGAAAGACCTCATAGCGGATTTGAAAGCTGTTACACAGAATCAAAGAATGTTTCAGGTTGGAAAGGAACTCTGATATCATTAAGATCCAACTCCCCTGCCACGAACAGGGACACCTTCCACTAGACCACCTTGGTCAGGATCCCATCCTAGCCTTAAATACTTCCAGGGATGGGGGATCCACAACTTCCCTGGGCAACCTGTTCCAGCGTTTCGCCTCTATTAAAGTAAAGAAATACTTCCTAATATCTAACTTAAACCTACTTTCACCTTTATCATCCATCTTTGTTTTTAAGTAGTGGATATGACCCAGTCAGATTCTGTGATAACTAATCAGGCAGGGAGATTAGAACTTGATAAAGAAAGTACTTATTTATAGCATGGTATTTATACTCCCTTACTGTTGCCATAGGAGTTGGGCTGAAGGGCAGGTGCCAAGCTCCTTTCTTCCTCGCTGGTAAAATCTTATGCTGTTTCTGTGACAAATGCCATTGGTGCTCATGGTTTCACTATACTGCAGCAGCAGCACAGAAACTTTATTTGTTAAAAACTCCATGACCCTTTCCAATTCCTTGAGTTGCTCACAGTATAGCACATAGATACCTAATGGTCCTACATCAACACTTCAAAGAAGGTAGTTAAGAGCCAAAAAGTGGAAAACTAGATTGAAAATGTAGTGAGCATTACCTCAAATGTCAAAATATGTGGACTCAAATGCTTTCAGACTGGGAAGTTCTCAGTCAAGCCTCACTTAGAGAGCTGCACATCTGGAATGAAGAACATCAGAGCTGTCTGATGCCTGTACCTTTGTACCTTCTTAGACAGGGGCTAATGCCTCACAGCAAATTCACAAATGCAATCTGCAAAAACAACACGTCAGGTTAACAACACAGCCCTAGCTGACCTAAATGCTAAATCCTACAAAGATACTTTTTTTTTTTTTTTCTGCTGCAACCAATGTCTATGAATGAACAGGACAGCAGGTCTGACATCCTCATGTTTGACATCCAGGTCTTATCATATGCATCTGTCCTTACAGAAATGCTGAAAGATAAACTCAGTCTTGACAGTCTGATCTGCAAGGGTCTGATCTGCAGATCTGATCTGTCAGTGATGTCCCACACACACGTGGTGCAATAGCATCATCCATTCTGCAGCTTGCATGTCCCTTACCCTCTTTAATGACCCCTGTTAAAGGAATTTCCTGTGGGCTGACAGGCAGGCAAAGCAAATGAAGGCAACCATTTTCTCCAGATTTTGGCTGGGAGGTGTGTTTGTGTGCATGAAAAAGTGTGTGTGTTGGAGCGGGGAGGAATTTACAGTAAGAAATTGTCTTAAAAAACATGAGATGGTATCTGCATATCTGTTCAGTGAGTTTATCTAAACATTCCCTTTTTCTCCCCTGTCTTTTCCCCTTCCTTTCCTTCTCTCTCTTCTACCATTTGCTGTCAGGAAGGGCCACGTCTGAAGGGCCAGTTCAGCACAGCCTGGCACCAACACAGACGGACATCAACACCAGTTCCAACTGTGAGTCAATTTGCAACTAGGGGACTCTTTGAAGTGGTATTGGTTTATGTGCTTGTGCAAGCTGCAAGAACTCTGCAGAGGGCATCCAGAACAGGGAGAGAGTGAGTCTGTTAGCCCTAGCTCCCTCTGGTTGGAGTAGCATGCAAGTTTTTGATGTCTTACTAAAGAGCATTAGATAAATGTATCTTCTCCTGATGTAAACAAGAATTCTGATACGTGAGGGTCAATGCCAGGTAATTTTACCAGCAGAGCAGACTTTTTGAGCTGGATGCTGTTCAGAGGAAACTGTCCACCAAGAAAGCTTAGGACACCTTGTCTGGCTAGAGAAGAGGCTGGAAGTCATGCCACAGACAAGGCTCTTCACTGAATTGTTATTTTCACAGTTAGAGACAAAAGCTGCTAGTCTCAGATTTGTGTAGGAGCACTGATCTGTGTTAGGACAGGTGAAGAGACCTTGCTTTCTCTTTTGAGGTCCTTGAGGTAATTTGGCTGCTGTCAATTTGATTCTCTGTAGGATCACCAGCAAGGGAGAAGACAAGACCTTGCACAGTTCTCTCTCATTATGCATGCACATAGAGTTATACAGCACTTGTGATCCCAGTCCCCAGTGGCCCATGCTCCTGATATGTGTGTTGGGTGAAGATAATCCTAATTAAATTGAAGAAGGGGGGAAAAAATTCATTATACAGAGCAACTGAGAAATGACCTTTGCTCTTCATTGTTCCTGGAAGATACTCCTTTACCATATTTTCCTCTTAGTGACTTTCCTGGTCCCAACAAGCTTTGGCTCAGCATCGCAGTGAAGGTAGCTGAGGAAGGAGATAGTGATTTAAAGAAGCAGGCAATTCTATCAGCTGCAGCATTTAAGAGGATGTGATGGCAAATGCAGAGGACAGCAGAAGGAAAAAAAAGGAAAAAGTCTGTAATACCCTTGCACTTCAAAGATAGTAAAATAAGTTACATCCTCTATCAGGGACTGAGAGAGTACTGGGTCAAAACTATTACAGCTATAAAATTTGTATCAACTCATGCATGGAAAGGTAGGATAAATTAGTAAGAATCTACTGTACAGTGAAGAGATTAACATATTTTTTTCTAGATGCATTGTCCTCAGCAGAGTTCTAACATTTTCCATTATTCTACTCTTTGATATATGTATGTAGATACAGCTTTTTATGAATATACTTGAATATATTAGTAAAAATCTTGCTCACAAACTGTAAAAGTGACTAATAATGTTATCATAAATAATGCTGTATTCTGTTTTTATGCTGCATAGTGATCAATGGAAAATTCACAACACGGGCCAATGTGTCACTGATCTGTGACTCTTAAGCAAAGCATTTCTTCAAACCATACTTTTTCATCTCAAATGCTTGAGTCATATTGTGTTTGTCCTGCCTTATAGTTTCCTGATGATTTGTTTATGTCCCACAGTTCCTGCAGTCCGATGGTCACTTCTGTAAGCTATTTTTTGGGAATGTTGATATCCAGATGGTTTGTCAGCTGTATCAAGCCTGTGAGCAGTTCTGTGTCAGTAAGCACATGGACCTGGCCCTTGAGATCAACAGGAGAATCACTGTTAAAATTCAGCTCTCAGTTAAGGAATCTGTGCTTGAATTTGTGCCAGGTGGAAGTGATTTTAACAAATTTTAAAATCTCCCAAAGATGAGAAACTGAGTATGGGTACAGAATTCAGGCTGATGCTTCACTTGTCATAGAATACCTTTAGCAGTTAATGAGTGGACATGAACTAAAACTCTGGGATTATGTGTCTACCAGGTTTTATTTGGAAAAATAATTAAAAGAAAAAAAGAGGGACAAGAGCGTCAGACAAGTAGAGGCCCACAGTTTGGAGAGAATTAGTTTCAAAGCAAATCTTGGGTACTTAGAGTCTGAAATACAATATACTCTGCTATTCTTCCTTTTAGCTTACCTGGTGGTCCATCCTGTACTTGTCTAGAGCAGCACTCTATTTTTGGCGCTTTTTTTTTCTCATTCAATTTGTTAGAGCACTTAATCAAACTTCAATATGGATTGTGATTACATCTCAAGTTCTTCTTTGCACAATGATTGATTTTGTTAAGGTGTGTTGTGGTTCCTCTCTAGTAAGAGCAGTTTGAGACTGCACTGAAGGAGGGGAAAATTCAGACAAGAAAAACAACAACCTAGTAATACCAAGCAGGTGAGGTATTGATCAAGGCTGTTCAAAATGCTTGGCCAATGAATGTCTTTTTTCACCTCCATTCATTGGTTTACAGCATCTCTGAGTCTCCTGGCTGGACACTGGACTTGTGCAGCTTAGTGTTGAAATTATTGTAGTCAAGCAATTAATGAAGATTCACAAAAGCACCTAAAGATGTTTTTAGGACTTTATTGTTATTATTATTAAGGGTGTTCTCCTTTGAATGATAAGCCTTGTACAAACAAGAAGAGATAGTCCATGTACGTGGACAGACTAAAGGACAAGAAAAAGGAAGGGGTTCAAGCCATCTAAGTCCATAACAATCTCCCTCTAGGAGATCTCAGTCTAAGAAATCTTCCTCTAAGAGATAGAATAAGGGGCTGAGCATTCTTGGAGTTTCTCAAAACTTCACTACAAAAGGCTTGGAGTATGCTGATTGAACCTGGAGCCCATGCTTTGAGTACAGGTTGGACTACTTGTCTTCCAGAATGGCCTTCAAACAGTGTCATTTTTTAATTCTACTGTCTGTTGTAAATTCAGTAGAAGTCCTGTGTATTTAAACTCTGTCTAGCACCTAAACTACAAAAAAAAAAGTCCTTCTTCTTTGGAATTAAGTTGTCTCCTCCAAAACCACCAGATGAATGCTGTCTTCTGGTAACACGCTGTTGACAGAAGAATGTGATGTGATATATATATTTTTGTTTTTTTATCATTCAGTTTAAGTGAAATCTGCTATATAAACACAGCAGCTAATAATTTAAGAAAAAAAGGGGGCTAGAAAATTGAGCTGACAATCTCAAACAGGTACAAAAATCTTCCTCTCCATAAGACTGACCCTGACTGGATTTTTTAAAGGGCAGAAAGACAAAACTGTTCTTTCACAGATGTCCTGGGGATCACAGCTAGAGGCGTCTCTGACAGCACTGCTCCTGTTGTGTAGCTAAATTGTATGGGTCAGGTCCTGAAGCTGTCAATCCAGTTAAGTCTTCACCACTGTTTAGAAAAGAAGCAGATATACTCCAAAGGCTAAATGCCAGTGACTTTGCTGTGACTTTGTGATAAAGTCCTGGACTCTTTCAGTGGGAAGAAAGTACTCTTGCATTAATGTAATTACTTGTGATATCACATCTAATACTCTCTTACTGAGTGTTTTCAAACCCTGGGCTCCCATTTGGTTTTGATGGACACCAGATTTTTTTAGTTCCAAATGGTTTTTGGGATATTTATTTTTCTGTAGTGATGGTAATCTAAATAGAGAGGTCATTATAAATTCCTACTGTGCACAATAAGGTTGTAAATGTTACCTGAGGCAAGGTCTGAAGGAAAAGGTAATAGCAGATGTGCTCTTATACCAACTGACGTAGATGTGAAAAACAGAATTTTTCTGGGGTACTAGCCACTGTCTACATCTGAAACAGAAACAAGAAATTTCAAGCTAGCTTGTTGCTTGGCTCTTGAATTTTTCACCTTAAAATCTGTATTCAGAACCCACTGGGGCTGCTAGGCTGTCTGCTGTTTATTTCAGTGGGTTTGGGAATAAGTATTACATTAGCAAGATTAATGATTGTAATTCCATTTATAAGGTTTTCTGCTTTTTTCTCACTATCTGCATGCCCTTAGAAGCTTTTTCTTTGGCCATTCATTAAAACCAAACTAGTTGCCTTTCTGAGACATGCCAAGGTGTTTCTGCAGTCTGCTAATGACTGCTAGTTCTGCTGGCAGATTTCATAGGGAAAATTTGGAAAATTAATCCATATTGCCAACAGCACTGCTGCCATCTGATTGTGTTATTACAAGAGTTAAACTCTTATCCTTTCTGTGCTCTGACTTACACACTGTGATGCTTTGATTCTGTCCACCTCCTAATCATGTCTGTCATAATACAATTAGAAAGTCTTCACAGGAGCATCCTGCATGATTTTAGCTTTAGCAAGAAATAATTGTCCATGCTTTTTATGGAAACATTTAATTTCATCACAGCTGGTAATTTCAAATTATTGTTTTTGTTCCAGTTAATGGGAGCTGCAACAGAAATCTCAGTCTGGCACATGTCATGGTGGCAAGATCTGCAAGCAGCAGAAAAGTAGCAGTTCCTGAGAGGGTCAATGGTTCACAGGATGCAGGTTTTTAGCATTTGCAGCTACAGGTTTAGGAACCTGTAGCTAGTAGGGTTTTGGTGTGAATGTGTGAGATGACAGGGATGTAACCCCACTGATCTCTTTCTGACCCACACCACTGCTGGATTCCATTCCTCAGCTATAACATTAAAACAACATGGGAGGAAACCTGCTTTTTCAGGTGAGGGGTACTGGCAGAGGTGATGGCAGAAATCATAAAAGCTCATGCCATGATTTGGTAGGAGACTGGAGAGTCAGGAGAGTCTCAGCAGTGCCAGTACCACTGCAGGTGAGCCCCAGCAAGACATGATTATTCCTTGAAATGGGAGGGCAGGGAAGAAGCATTCGTAAGGTTCAGAAAGAGCAGAACCTGATGTTTAAGCACTTCAAGGTGTTAAAACTCTGAAATGTTCAGAGCTGTTTTGTTTTGTTTTTTTTTTTTTTATGACTTCCTCTGGATGACAGATATGAAAGATCAAAACATCCAATACTTGCTTTTTTATATATGCAATATAATGTATTTCACAGATATTCTGGACATGGGGACATACAGACAACAGGATCTGAATTTTTGAAATGCATTTATTACACAGAATTAGTGTGTGGGCACTTTCATTCAGAATTAAGCTAAACTAAAATAAAGGGTTAAGTTCAAGAGCAGAGGATATAAGACAATGAAGACAGAGGGAGAATTTTCCTTCATACAAATTTTATGAGAAGCTCATGGAGGTAAATTGCTATAAAACATGTTTTCAGCCAGTAAAAATGAGATTTATCCAGTGTTTTGATTGAGATGTTCAGTCGGGTAGAGATTTATCCATAGCAGGTATTAGACATGCAGTGTGTGAATGCTCATGAATTGGATGGAATATAGGAGAAGGGCATAAACTGCAGAGGTTTACTTTTAGATCAAGTTAAAATAGCCTTTGGCTTTTCCTGCTTTATGCAGATATTGTATTAATTGAGTGAATGCTCTTGCATTGACTCTTTGTTTTTTGATAGGACAAACAGGAAGTGATAGAAATATAAAATAGATTGAACTAAACATGGAGGAATAGACATTTCTGCCTCAAAATATAAGAATTCAGAGACAGAGACAGAAATTAAAGATGTCACTTTCACAACATGAGAAACTGTGGAATTCACTGCAAAGGAAAGATCATGAAGCCAAGGGTTTAGTTAAATCCAAAGAAGCATTATCAATATACATTAATTACAAGAATAACTAGAGAAGTAATTATTATGAGGAAAAGTCTGTAAGAATAGAGGAATAGATAGATACTGGACTTTGATTATTATTCTAGTATCTATTAAGATGAGATAACCTAGCAGACAGGCAACATGCAGTAGACAGAAAATTAACTGAGAAATGTCTGAGATTAGTGTCTATGAGACATAGGATTTAAATGACAGTAGGTCATATCCAAGTTATAACTTGATGTAACTTCTTTTTCTGAACTTCTCTTCCTTCATTTTTTCTGAGTTAAGCCTTTCAGATGTCCAGCTGCTGATGAGCAATGTATTCTGATCATACTGATTCTTGGTGAGTCTGGAAAACTGAATTTTTAATGCTAGTTGCAGGAGTATCATGTTGAGCTAACTGTGCTTGGAGTCTGAATATTGTCATAAATAACAATGCAGAGAAAATAAGTGATGAGGTTTAACTCCCAGCCCAGCAAAAGGTCAGTGATCAAGATGTAGAGTTTGAACTGTTCAGTACTGCCATAATAGAAGTGTCCAAGTTTATTAGCAAGCTGAAAAGCAACTTGCAATACCTGTGCATCTTGTGAAGAAGCAAGTTGTGGAAACTGACAGATGGATTTGCTTTAAGAATCTTTAGAAACACAAATAAAACATATATATTCAGTTCTTCTGGGACACATTATGCAACAGACTTTCTCCTTAGTGAAGAAATCAATGGACAATGGACAAGGGATCACAAGAGGAGAAAACACTGCTCTCCCTCCTTCCATGAGTTACAGGTGAAGAAATGTGAAGGGGTTTATATGAGAAGGGGCAAGGAATCACAGTGCAGGTCATTTCACATGTCAGACCTTTCACATGTCAGCTCAGACAGTCCATAATAATGGACATAGAATCACAGAACCATAGAATCATGGACTCATAGACTCATAGAATCACAGAATGGCCTCATTGGAAGGGAACTGAAAGATCATCTAGCTCCAGCACTTACACTAGACCAGGTTGCTCAGAGCTCTGTCCAACCTGGCCTTAAACACTGCCAGAGATGGAGCACATAAGTGGAACATGCCAGATGTTTAGCTGGTATTTAAGCTGTTGCCCCCAACACCTGGCATTATCCAATTACACTTGTCTAACGCCTTCAAATTCAATCTTAGCTCAACACCTCTGTCCTATAAATACACAATCATTTAAAGCCATCCAAAATCTAGGAGGCCAGACTCGCCCCAACATCTAGCCATGCTTCCCTGATGCCTCTCTTTTGTCACTCCTCCCATTCCTCCAACTACAAGAACTGGCTGAAAAACTAGTCAAAATTACAGGAATAGTTTTCAGGTAAATCAATGCATCAATATAGAAGAAATAGACTGTTTGTGTCTTTGCTATGGAAAAGGCAGATATTTCAGCTCAACCCTTACTAGACATTAAAGTCAAAACAAGGATGATATTAAGAAGGCTCAATTGGGGAAAGACTTGTATGCACAGAGAATTTAACTGTGAAATGCAACACCACAAAACTCCATTGTTTATTGTTTAGTCCACAGTACTGGTAGGATAGCAAGAACAACTCAGATCATTGTAGCATTACTGTGAGGCTGGTGAGGCACTGAAACAGGTTGTCCAGATGAGCTGGAGATAACCCATCCTTGAAGGTGCTCAAGGCCATGTTGGAGGGGCTCTGAGAAACCTGGTCTAGTGTTCTGACTCATGGTGGGGGATTGGAATAAGATTCCAATCTTCTAAACTTGGAATTAATTTCCCTTCCAACCTAAACCATTCTGTCATCTTAAGAGTCCCTGCCAACCCAAACCATTCTGATTCTATTATTATTGGAGCATGTGCACACATAGAAAAGACTCAAGCCCCATGCTTGGTGGCATTTCATAGGACTGCCTTCCCAATGGGATGACTCTCATTCTCTTCCCATAAGTGTCTGTTGCCAAAAAAGTGTAAATTGAGGTTATTTCTTGTACTGTCCGTTGTTGCCTTGTTACCCTCTTCTCTGTGAGAAAAGACTCTACCTCACTACGATCTCCTTTCAAGTAGGTGTAGAGAGAATGATCGTCCCTGAGGCTCCTTTTCTCCTGGATAACCACCTCCAGCTCCCTTAACCACTCCTATAACTACATATTATCATGCTGCAGCCCCTACAACAGCCTCATTGCCCTTTTTGGACACACTCTGGAGATGAGAGGCAGACTACAAACCAGTCCATAGCTACAGGAACAAGCTCCCATGATAATTCAGGATATGGCTTTACTGAAGGTTGAGACTTCAATGTAAGATGGGTGCAGTATGTTCTGTCACCCTGTCACCAGCATGAGTGACATGGAACTGTGTCTTGTTTAAAGCAAGTGCAGATGTCAAGTTTGCCAAGTTTCTATCATGCCTTAAGACTGTCAGCATGAGCTAAGAATCAAGCCCCAAAATTTCTTGTCCTCTTTCCAGTTAATTCATAATGTTTTCCTTATACAGAAATAAATCACTTATCTATTCTCCTAATGCCTTTTGCATTGGGTTTCATTTCCCTCTCTGATTCCAAAGGTTACCAGCATGTTTGTGCCCAGCAGGCAACAGCTGGCATCTCTCTTCTTAAATTTGGACCACATAGCTGTGCCCTCAGTTTCCATTCTTTGGAAACCTGGACATACCATAATTAAAATAGACTGCAAATAGATGCTTGCTGATAAAGAGGTTCTGCTTGCTTGTACTCCTTGCAATTTGTGTTGTGAGGATTTAGTCACAGTCTAATGGCTAATCATTGCAAGAGTTCAATGAATCTCCTGGCCTTGAGGTTTTGGCATAGCCATAATATCGTGTGGGTTTGATTGGTGGAATTTTTGCACTCAAACCTTACTGAGCATCTCAAAACTGCCCAGTCACCAAATCACAGAATCACAGAATGGTTCAGGTTCAAAGGGACCACAGTGGGTCATTTGACCCAACCTCCCTGCTCAAGCAGTCATTCTCTAGACTTCCATGGTACAGGATGGAATCCAGAGGGTTCCTGAACATCTCCAGTGAGTCAGACTCCACAATCTCTCCTGGAAGCCTGCTCAGTTATCTGCTGTGTAAGTCCTTTGTTTTTGCCTAAGGCAACATAATTGAGGAATGAGAGAGTGGCTAAGCCAGGACAGTAGTGACAGTGACAATCTGCATGTGGATACAAGCAAGCATCCAACAGAGTCTCTCAAGGCTTTGACTGGATATTAACACCATGCCCCTTTGTGACAGGAAGCCCATCCAAGACCTGCATCTCAGGAACTGTACCCTAGCTGCCTTCATTGATTTTGGTATAGATGTCATAACATCTTGATGAAATTTCCACTTATTGAAAAAAAGTAATTTGCCTCCCTGAAGAAGAAGCTTGTGCCTATTAATGCCTTATATAAGTAGTTTTATGTAATTTTAATGAAGCCCTTAATTTGTAATTTGTGATGGTAGTAAAATCCTGCACTTGCAGTGAGGGCTGTAAACTGGTAGCGCCATGGAGGAAAGAGGAAGAATATTTGTCACAATGAGTCCTGGGGAGATACAGGAGTCCTTTAATCAGGGTCCCACTGACAGTTTTGTGGAAAACATATATCAGCACCTTTATAGGATCCCATTTCTAATGGGAACAAGCAATACTGGAACAGGACAAGCCAGTGCAAGAGGAACTATTTAAAAATACACCTGGAATGATTTTTTCGTGGCATAAAAGTTTGCATCCAGACTTGCAATTGAGGATTGTACATGTGAAACCACAGGAAAAATAGCCAAAATGTGTAAACAACTAAAAATGAACCACTGCAACACTGTCCTGGATTCTTATCTTATGCAGGACATAATTGTGCATGAAATTGGGTGTTGAACAGACATGGGTAGGAAATGTGGCTGGGCAGTCTCCTCCTCTGAGGGGAGAGATTTTTGTAACTCAGTGTATATTCTGTGTATTAATTCTATGGGAAGATGCTTGTTTGCTCAAGCCTTCACCTCTGCTGGTCTCTGTGCTTATCACATTCTGCATGGCTGAGTGCAAGGATCCACCTGTAGAGAGGTTCCAGAAATTTGACTGCAGAAATAGGCTTTTGATTCTAACTTCAGGTATCCAGGTTTGAACATTCTATTCAGATTTTGTCAGGAACAAAGTTAATTTCTAAACTTTGGACAGTGAGACTGTGTCTCTCCTCCCCTCCCCTCTTCTCCCCTCCTCTTCAACTCATTAAATTGTAGTTGTTTCTACAGCTTCCTGGTCTAACCAGCCTTGCTCTCTTGCTTTCTCCACTTTCTCCACACATTTGTGCCACTTATTTGCTGGGGAAAGGGGAGTTCAGAGATGCTGTAGGACCTTTGTGTGGCATTTTCTACAGCCAGGGTCAACTTGCTACACACTGTCCAAGATCTCATGATGTTTGGATTTGTTAACCAGAGTTTAGATGAATCCATTTTACCATGGAGTTATCCTATTATTAACTTCCATTATGAATTTGCAGATTTTATGGGAAAGTGACTTATTACCACTTTAATGCCATGCCATCATGGGCTGCTTTTAGTCTGAAAAGATGCTCCAAATGGGGTAGGAGTGCTATACAATATCATAAGCCACAATCTATAAAATCTTTATTAGGTACATCACAATTTATCATTTTAATCCATCATCTATAATCAAAGACAGACCTGCAATAATTTGCATTTTTGTAGTTCTTTTCTCCCAGGTGCCCTAAATGTTTTTACTGCAATTGTTGGGAGCAAATGCTGATAATTTACCTAGTACACCATGCAGGAAGCAAGAAAAATTAAAAAGGCAAAGGATTCAAAACGCTTCCACTCAGTTCAGAGGATGATTTTCTCTGGCTTAAAGAGCATTGCACTACAATTACTTGACATTAGGTATTCTAGAATAGTCATTAAAAAATAAGAAAGAATCTTTTAACAATTCTCTTACTAATTAAAAGGATTCCCACAGTATTCATGGCTCTTCTCAGGTCTGTAGAACTACCTACTACACAGAAATATTTCTGGAACTTTTAACTGAGACTTCAAAAACCCCTAAATTAGTCAATAAGGAAAACAAGCATACATGCCCCCACCCCTCAAAATAAACCCAACCTTAGAAGCCACCAGTTTTGATGGAAACCTAGAAGTAAAGCCTTCTCATACAGCTGTTGCCAAGGCCTATGTCCTGTTGATTTGTGGCCTCAGTCTTCCTATAAGGGCATGTTGTGACTCCATACTAAAAGGCCTTGTTCTGTAGGTTAAAAAAAGTGTATAATTCACCTTAAGGGTGAGAACCTATGTAATAGTACTGGGGGTGAACAACTTTTCTGAACTTTGGTGACTCATTGTAAAAATATGCTTATAGATATGACTTTTTTCACTCTGGACCTTGCACTAATTAGAAGGAGTAAATGTGGTTGTACTAATGGACTCAGCCCTTAAAAATTGTTTTTCAGTGTTGGATTCTGTCAAAAGCATAATTTTGTGTCAAATTTTGTATTTATCAGTGGAATTAATTCTGACCTGTAACACGTTTTCATCTAAGTAAGAAGAGGTGTGTGCATTTTGGCACTCCCTGTCTTTCTATTAACAGGTGCTGCAGAAATATTGCAAAACTGGCTTTTCAGAGCAGCTCTCAAGAGCATGAACGGGTGATCATTGAACATGATGTGGCCACCACCTTGGAAACGTGGCTGCTGATCACTCACTCGCTGCCAGTTCCCTGCAAAGTGCCAGTGTAAGGGCAAGCAGCCACCTGAGGCACACTGATCAGATTGCTGGCACTTGCCTGGTCATGCTCAGAGGCACCCTTCTGCTAGTGTTTGTTCACAAGCCCAGATTTTGCAGCTTTAGGGGAATAAGTCACGAATTCCATGCTGTAGGTTGTGTGATGCCAGAAGAAATTCCTGTCATAAGAGCAGTGGGAAGTTTCAGCAGCTCCCTTCCTGTGACCACCCAATTTTTTTTGTATGGAGAGAGCATCCTCAAAAAGGACATCCTGATCAAAGAAAGGCTGAGGCATGTTTGTAAGAAATATAAAGACTGTCACAAAGGGAGACCAAAGCTCCACTGCAGCTAACCATCATCAAATTGTTGAGGGAATAACTTGCAATGGTTCAAATAATTTTAGGACATTTAGAGTGCCTTGTTGTAGAAATTGTCACAGGACCAACAGAAGTAGATGTTGTACCTCATGGTCTCAGGTGTAAAAAATCATCTGTGTCAAGGGGTTGATTCTAATTAGCATGGGTGGCCAATATGTGAATCACTAGAAACTATGATCCCTGCCCTTCCCAGTGTCCTGGTTATCACAAGGTTGGTGGTGTCACATATGGTTCTGTTGGTGGTCTTCTGTGGCAAGGAGCACTTGTGCTGTCCAGAGCTGCAATGGAGAGACAACTGGAAACCCAGTACTCCCAGAAAACTCTGAAGGGGTACACAGAGACCACTCTGGGTTTCTTGGTCAGAACAGGAACCATTTAGATATTTGGAGCATATGATTATTTGTGTGTGTGTGTAGGACAGATACCAGACTGCAAATCCTAGCAATTGTGTTCATGTTTATACTTAAGCATTTGTGTTGCACTCTCTGAAAAACAAATTTCACAGAAATGCTACCAGAAAAAGCCAATTGCAGCAGTCCTCCTGTACAAAGCAGAACCAGGTTTCTAAAAGTAAAGGCTTCCTGCCTTCTGAGATTCAATTACCCAGTCTCACCAATATTCAGGCAGGAATGTTTTAAAGTTTTTATGGCTATCACACAGACAGAGATTTTGCATTTGCAAGAGAGATAGAGTTTGTAAATTTGACCCAGTCAGTTTGTAAATTTTGCCCAGTGAATTTTGCCCAGTAAATTTTGCCCACCAGTCTGTGGTGAGATCCAGGATATGAATCCCATATTCTTAGGCTGAAATTTCTCTCACAAGCCTGTCTTTACATCATACAAAAATCTATCCCTGTTTTTTTATCACCTCTCTTCCCTGTCCACTTCATGAAGGTAATAGCATTCTTCAAAATGGATCTTTCAAGATCTAGTTGTGTCTCTAGTGCTTCTCTAGACATTACAAACATTTCTAGTTCAGACATGAGCAATTTATTCAGCATTATATGGTAGAAAATGCTGCAGCCTGATGTAAATAAGGATCTAGTTGCTGTCAGACTTCTTGATTTAAAAAGAAAAAGATTTTAAAATATTCACATTGTGCCACCATGTCTAGTCCTACACATAGCATAGACTTTGCTTTTCTTTAGTGTGGTTAACCTTCCAAATCAGGAGGAATGTGAACAACTAACATTACAGCCCCTTACAAAAAAACCACAAAACATCAAGTTCTGGTCATGCTTGAATGGACAACTGCAATAGATTTAATTCAAGTGTTGGTGAAAGCCATTATTTTCCATTCACAGAGAGCTCACCTGATTCTATTCAGCCTTCAAACTGAGAAGAAAAGAAGGCATTTGCCTTTGGACAGAGATGTGAGTGGATATTCACTGGAGGCATCTTGTCACACAGCTTTGTC